GATCCCGGTCCCCCCCTTTCCTTTCCCTTCCTCTCCGCCCAGGGCGCACAAACGGCTCCGGTGCGCCCTGGGCGCAGCGCCCCCGAAGGGGGACCTTTCTGGGGATGGGGGGCGCCTGGATCGCTCGGAAAATCGGGGCAGGATTGGGGCCCCGATTAGAATGGGACCCATGGGGCTGCCTTCCTAAGCCTCCTCCACCTCCCCCCAACCCTCAACAGGCCCAAAGACCCCATTGACAAGGTCGGTGGTGAATCCAGGGGTTGACCTGCTTTCCTAGCCTTTGGATTATTAGGAAGAATAATTAGGTTGCTAGGGTTCCTGCCCCCCCCCCGACCTTATTATAATTGTGCCATTGTTGTCACTAATATGAATGGGGGGCCTTCCTTTGGAAAGGGGGTCCTTGCCTCAATTCGGAGACTCCCAGATGGGTTTATTTGTGGGGTGGGTGGGGAGGGTTAGGGTTTCCGTCATTCCCAGTCCAAGCCATGGGTGGGGGTCACGATCCCAAGAAACCCCAAATCCAGACTCCGTATTAGTTGCTCCCCATTCCTCCTTGTTTTATGAAGAGACCCAACGGCCCCTTTTGCTTGCACACTATTTTGTGTGTGTGTGTGCGGAGCTGGAATTTTGGCTCCCTTAAAAGGCACTACCCTTGGAAGGCGTTTTGTTTTATAGTCAACGTGGCTGCCTCTGGGTTCTGACCTTCAAATAAGTCAACTTTTCTGAAGTTCTGTTTAGAGCCACAGCAATGTTGAGGCAGATGATGGATCCCTCTGTGCCATCCTGGCTATGTCCTCTGCAGCAGAGGGGTAGTTTTCCAGCATTTTAGGCAGAAATGTTTTGTTTCTCTGCTTTTCCTTTGGCTCTACCTGGAGATGTCCGAGAGATTAAATCTCCCTGTAAAGCACACCGTTTTAGGCAGAAATCTTTTGTTTCTTGGGCCCTTACACAGAGTCTGCGCTTATTCCTCTGGAATCTCTCTAACACAATCACTTTGTCTTATTTTAGGCAGAAATCTTTTGTTTCTCTGCTTTTCCTTTGGCTCTACCTGGAGATGTCCGAGAGATTAAATCTCCCTGTAAAGCACACCCTGACTCACTGGGATCGGGCCCTTACACAGAGTCTGCGTTTATTCCTCGGGAATCTCTCTAACACAATCACTTTGTCTTTAACTATTTGTTTGCTCTTGTAATCTTTTGTGGAACACACACAAGCATCTTCAATAATCTGAATCTGACCCTTTTGGGATTGTGGGTCTCCTTCTGTTAATATGTGCTCCTTCCTTTAAGCAGTGTTAATTCTTTCATTATTTTATTTGGCCCCCATAACCCAGTCTAGGGGCAACCCTCTAGGGTTTGCTCATAAGTAAACTCTGCTGTATTCAGGAGAGATCTTTCACCTGGGTGAACAGGCAGCAGTACCGGCGCCTGATTTTGCTTGCAGGTAAATCTCCAGTGCTTAATTATCCCATTCTCTGCCATCTGAGATCCCGTTGAGAACTGTTTGCAGAGTTTCAAATGTCAGCCATGAGGACTAAAACCTTTTTCTGTCCCTTCCCATTAAAAAAAAGAGAGCTGTCATTGTTTACTAAATGCTCCCTTTGACTGCATTAAAATTAGGAATGGTTTCTCAGGAATGGAAAATCCTGAGGCCAGATGTAATTAGAACCTTTTTTTGTTTTCTCTGCCCCTCCCTTTAGGAGAACATCTTTTCCTGTCAATCAAAAATCTACACCTACATGAGTCCAAACAAACCTCCTGCCGTTCGACCCCCTCTGCAAGAGGAGAACTCCGCTACGCACCACGACACAAAATGCCAGAGACAAACGATCAATGACACAAATAGAAAAGGGGAAGGTAAGAATGACCATTTCCAGTTTTGGGATGGGTGGAACAGCCACGTGGGCTGGCCGGTTCATCATCGAGTGTACGTCTGTGCTTGTTTTAAACGAACGGCTAGAATCGTTTTGATTCGTTATTTAACCAGCGGTGGTCTTAGTTTTCTCTTGAATGGTTCAGTGATGCTACAGACATCACAGGCAAAGAGATTTCTGCTGGTGGTTTCAGTGGTGGGCAAGCAGGAAGAACACCGCAGTGCCTTTTGGCAAAGGATAGGAATAGTGGCAGAAGTTATGACCCATAGGTACTTTTCTACCTGGGATGTGGGACCTTAAGTACCATTTTTCTTTCCCTGTTCGAGGAAGGGGAAGATTTAGTTTAGGATTAACTATCCAGCCACTGAGAAACCAGGGAGCTACCTTACATCAACTCAGGCCTTCTAGCCAAGTAATGTCTGTACCTGGGAATCAGGGTGAAGGTGTGGTGTGCATTGCCTCCCCCCCCCAAAAAAAACCTTTCTGGGTGAGATGCTGAAACTGCAGAGCCTGTTTAGAAAGGAATCAAGTGATGCTTGTGTTTTTACTTTCTTCCCCCTTTTTATTATTTGCAGATAGGATAGATAATGGCGAAGCAGCTGAGGGTACAGTAAAATCCGAGGGCAGACATGACAAAGAGACCCGCCGTGGATCGTCACCATCTTCCTCTGAACAAAAATCAGAGGCCGCAGAATCCGGGCTACGGGCACCCCCGAAGTCTGCCGACACAGAGCCTGAAAAACCAGCCCCAAAGAAAGAAAGCAAAGCCAAGCCCGGCCCCAAGAGAAAGTAAGTGTTTTTGCAGATCGTCGCGATGACATCATGGCTGTGTTTGCGTGTCACGGTAAGCCAGGATTCCAAAGCATGTTGATTGAGCACGAGGTAGGATCCCCTGTCCGGTTCACACGTTTTTTTTCCCCCCTGCCTCTCCCAGGGCCCAGGGGAAAACGCAACAGAACCGAAAGGTTACAGATTATTACCCTGTGAGAAGAAGCTCTCGGAAAAGCAAAAAGGAGTTGCAGGTATTCTGTCTTGTGAAGCCCCTCTTAAAACAATTTTACTTCTCCCCCCCCCATGCCTCATGAAGCACCTCTTTGAAGCACCAAAGAACAGAGACGATTCTGGTGGAAAGGGTGGGATCAGAAGATGGGGCACAGGTTGAATGGACCCATCTCGTGCCCGTTTGCTTAGCCAGCCTAAGACAATGTGTAGTTTTTAAATGTTTATTTGCAAACCAATTTTGATTTATTTTTCCTGCAAGGCCGTTAACACAAACACTTCGGTTCCCATTAACTTTTCTTTTCTTTTTTTTTCCTTTGCGGTCCATCAATTCCCACTCCTTAAAGCCCTGAGGAAGGGCTGAAAGAACTGGACATGTTTAGCCTTGAGCAAAGAGACAGAGTAGCACTTATTCAGATGCTTGAAAGGTCGTCCTACAGAGGAAGGGCAGGATCTGTTCTTGATCCTCCCAAAGGTGCAGGACACATCATAATGGACTCAAGGGACAGGAAACCAGATTTAGGCTGAAGATCAGGAAATACTTCTTAACTGTTAGAGCACTACAACATTGGAACCGGTGACCGTGGGAGGTGATGAACGCTCCAACACTGGAAGCATTCAAGAGAAAATGGGACACCCCCCCTTTCAGATCTGCTTTGACTTGGATTCCTGTACTGAGCAGGGGGGTGGAGTGGATGGCCTCAGAGGCCCCTTCCAAGTCCATGATTCTGTGATTTTAAACAAGGCTTACTTACAGTGTGTAGGACTGTAATATTAAGCTTATTCTCTAGTGATGGTGCTGCTAATGGCAACAGAGCATGTTTTCGTATCCTCTTCTAGATCGAGGAGAAAAAGCGGATTGATGATTTAATAGAAAGCGGGAAAGAAGATGGCATGAAGGTATGAAATTAAAGTGAGAGTGGTTTTTTGGAAATAATTCTTAGTATTTTTAAGGGCCCCTGGACTAAAGCCGAGGATTATAAGCTCCTCACCAAACTACAAACCCCAGGATTACCCTTGGGAGAAGGCATGGCAGTTACAGTGACATTAAATTGCCATAGCCGTGTAGTAACAGATATACTTTGATCCAGGAGGAGTACACCACTAACTGAGTGCACCCCAGTAACCTTTGGGGTTTTTAATGTCTCCAATAGTCCAGCCTGGTCCATTTAGCGTAAAATAGTTTGTAGCCTTTATGAAAGCCTTTTTTCTCCTCCCTGGTAGATTGACTTCATTGATGGGAAGGGCCGAGGAGTCATAGCAACCAGGCAGTTTCACCGGGGCGAATTTGTGGTCGAATATCACGGGGACCTCATTGAGATTACGGACGCCAAGAAGCGAGAGGCCGCTTATGCTCAAGATCCAGCCACGGGCTGCTATATGTATTATTTTCAGTACCTGAGCAAAACGTACTGGTGAGCTTTCTCTTATTTCTTGTTTCCTTTGCCTGAATTTATCTGCCAAGATTCCAGTTTCCAGCGAAATTGTATATATGTACAGTGGTGCCTCACATAGCGAGGTTAATCCGTTCCGGATTAAACCCTCGCTATGCAGAAACATCACCGAATGGAATGGGGAAAGCCATAGAAACGCATTGAACTTCGTTCAATGTGTTCCTATGGCTTGAAAACTCACTGTTAAGCGATGTTCCTCCATAGCGCCGCCATTTTCGCGCCCTCGGTAAGCAAGGGCAGGGGGCGAAAATGCGGCGCGGACCTTCCGGCGGCCATTTTGGAACCGCCGATCAGCTGTTCTTCCCCGCTTCGTTATGCGATATTCGCTAAGCGAACCACTTAGCGAACATCGCAAAGCGAAAAAACTCCATAGGGGCCATCGCTGAGCGAATGCTCCAGCGATCGCCCGGAGCCCCTCGTTAAGCGATTTAATCGCTCAATGGGGCGCCCGTTAAGCGAGGCACCACTGTATGTCTACTCAGAAGCAAACACTGTTCTTGACAGTGGACTATACTTCGGGCTAAATATGTGCAAACGTATTCCGCTGCAAGGAAATGTAACTTCTTTCCTCTTCTCCTCTTCTTTCCTTTCCTTTCTCTCCCGCCGCCTCCATCCAGCGTTGATGCTACGAAAGAGACCAATCGCCTCGGCCGGCTGATCAACCACAGTAAATGCGGCAACTGTCAAACGAAACTCCACGACACTAACGGCGTCCCCCACCTCATCTTGGTCGCCTCCCGGGACATTAAAGCCGGGGAGGAGCTCCTGTACGATTATGGGGACAGGAGTAAAGCTTCTCTTGAGGCTCATCCGTGGCTGAAACACTAATTTATCTTTTCCCTCTCTCCAAATCGTCTCTGGACTGCTTCCTTGGCTTGAAAGAGGACGTGGTACCCTTGTTTACAGCCGTTGTGGCAAATCGCCTCCAAAACGTGCTCCATCGTGATTATTTTAAAAGTCAGCTACAGAGCGGCATGTTCTTCCTCTGAGCAGACTTAAAACAGAATCCTTGAATATTTTTTTACTTCCTAGGGTCACCTGGATTATCTGCTCCCCCACCCCCCACCCCCAATGTCCCTGTTTGTACATAGAGAAATGAATTTATCAGTGCTTCCTGACGATACCATTTTGGGACTAATATGAGCTTGTATAGAGAAGAACGCTGTTTTTGAGATTTTGTCCATTTTAAAGGTCACATTTGTGCTGGAAGAGGGGGAAAAGGTGAGGGCAAAGCCAACCCCAAGGAGCAGACAGACAGTCATCGCCTCATGGATTCCGTGCCTGTTCAAGGAGAGACCGGAGGCGTCTTATTTCCAACCTTTTCTTCGGCATGACATCAGCGCCTGCTGATCATCAAATGGTGGCCACCCTTGAACTTCGTCAAGATGTTTCTTGAGTTTCTGAGCACTTCTGAACTTTGGTAGCGAACATTCACTTTTGTGATGGGTCGATCCGCTCTCTGGGAAGATGGAAGGACAGATCGCCCCTCATCCAGAATCTCCTTGGTTGGAAGGGAGGGAGGCTGCGCTGATGATGGCAGACTAGACTTTCCAGCATCAGTGCTTGCTCTGTAGTTCTGTTTCTGCTTCCTAAGGTCCCCTTTCCATCAGAAGGAGGAAAACTGGAGCAGGCACCCTTCAATAACTTGATTCATTATCTCCTACATCCGTTGACTTGATGGCCGTCGGCCTTTTCTTGAACCCGGTGCTGCTGAGGCTGAATAATGGCCAAGCTGTCAGAAAAAGGAAATAATTGCTGGGTGGCGAGTACTCTGAACTGGCGTTGTTGCCCTCAGCGTTGTGGCTTCTTTTCGTGGCGTTTGTCTTGTTGGCACTCTTTGGGGTCGAAACTATCCAAGGCTACTCGAGAGGAAGAGATGTAATCATGTGGCAAGCCAGCTCCAGTTTATGTATGCTTTAAAGAAATAAATTGTGGCTGCTTCATTGTTTTTCTTCTCTCCCCACCTCTCCTCTTGGGGGCTGCTGGATATATATATATATTTACAGACAAATAGTGTTTAATCCATGTAGAAATGTGAAGCAAAATGTTTCATAAGGCATCTGACGGTCTGTGCTTCATCCCTCTTTTTCTCTCGCTTATCAGTAGAAAAGAAGGAAAATAATGTGGAGAAAACTTGACGCTTTTAAAAATAGAATTACTGTCTTTTGAGAGAGCTTTCGTAAGGCGGAGATGGGTTTGGACTTGTGTTTTGGGGTTTTTTTTGGGGGGGTTGGGGCAGTATTTCTCAGGATAAAACTCAGATCTGCAATGTCAGTTCTGGTGTGAACACAAGACTGTTTATTTACTCTGGCCGATCAAACTATATCCCAAAATTTGGAATCTCTTTTATCAGATTTGTTACTGTTGTGACTAGCGCATCATGCATCAAAGTCAGAGGAATTAAGTCTTTCCTGGGAAAGGGGTCTTCGATTGAACCTCCGCTATACAAGTAGAACAGTTGGATACAATTTTTTTAAACTGCTGTGACTGAATTCGGTGGAATTTATAGTTGATCAACACTTTGAGTGACAGAACGCCCGTGGGATCCCCAGAATGACAGCCACAGTGCTCTGGAGCAGAGTACCAAACTACAAATCCCATAATTCCATAGAAGAGGAACCATCAAGTGCTACCTAACTGCTGCAGCTCTCTAGCGTAGATATAGCTTTTCTTAATTTCTCAACCTCAAACTGACAGGGAAGCACCAAGATGTAAAGGATTCCGGGAAGTTCTAAAGGAAGCCCTTTTAAATCAAAAAACGTGGGTTAAAATCTGAAATAAAAAGCCAGGTTGGTGGCTGCTAGAGTAACTGTGATCCCAGATTATTACTATTTTTTTTGCCCACTCCGAGATGGTTTCCTTTCTTAGGGCACGGGGGGGTCTGTCTTTTTCTTTTCAAAGGCCTGAAATAAATTTGCGCAACTTAAAACTACGCAGGGTTGAGGGACGAGAGCGGAAGACTCTGTATTTATATTTAAAAAAACACACACCTCTGTATCATCCTTTATCTGTGCTGGTGCGGCAGCTGGGGATGAGCTGAGGTGAGGGAATTCGGGACCTGGTTTGGTAACGTCTTTTTTTAAAGTGTAAAAAAAAATTTCTTGAAGAAAATGTTTCTCTGTAGAAGGAATTAAATAAAATGAGGTATTTATTAACAGCAAATGGATTTGTCATTCATACCCCTGGATGCTGTCGCAGCGAACCTCTTTATCGCTCATGGAATTTTACAGATCATCTCCTTATCATCTGCAAATACATCTCTCCCACCCACCCTGCTTAAGCAGCCAATCCCACAAGAAGGCAGTGCAAAGATCTTTAAAATAATTCTAGAAACAAATGTAAGAATTTATTCCGTCCTTGACAGACGTTTTCCAGCTTGAACAGATGCGAGAGGTAGTACTTTTTTTTTTACCTCAGCTATGGAGAATCTACAGGTCTCCAAAAATCAGAAGACCCTCATCCCTTACCAGGACGGTTTATCATGGAAGCATGGTGGGTTTGTGTGGTCAAAATACTTTTAGTTACGTACCCAGCCCTGCTTTATATGAGCAAGGAAATCAACAAGAGAAACAATGCTAATTTTGCATATAAAGGTGAAACATAAAGCAGGAAACGCTCAGGGTTAGCAGCTTGACAATCTGCATGTGGTTTTTCAAAGGCTCCAGTTCTTGGCATTTGAGATTTTGGTGCTGCTGCTTCTTCAACTGCAGCTTGATTTTTCTTTATTTTTTTGAAGCGGAAGTTAAAAATTCCTCGTCACAGCCTTTTAAAAGTGAACCTGCATTGGGAGACATGGAAGTTGTATGGGTGAATGAGGAAGCACAGTAGGGCCGGTATCCGCTGATTCACTTATCCACAGTCTGAAAATATTTAAAAAGATCCTAGAAATATTTCTAATGGGTGAAGTTAGCAGATTTGGCCACTAGAGGGAACCAGATACCATGCTATATATATTGTGCTCACTATTAAAACTGTTTTCTATAACCCACATTTTTCAGTATCCACGGAGAAGTTTAGAACCAGTCTCCCGCAGATATGGGGGTCCTACTGTGTATGCAAACAGGAGGGAAAAATGGAATAAGACTCTTACCTGCTTAAGAGACAAACCTAATTAAGGGTTTGTCACATAGGAAAGGTCATTTGGCATGCACTATTTTTTATAAGAGGCATCTCCTCTGTGGGAGAGAAGTGGAGAAGACTCTTCTAAGGCTACACTATCTGCAGTTTTTCTATGTATGAGCATTAACAAGGGCGGTGGGGGGGAACGTGACCCTGTGTTCCTTCTGTCCAATCTGAAGACAAAGACGACTGATTTTTAAAAGTTTGTTCGCGTCGCCCACTGGACGGCGCTTGTGTTTGCACACAACCTGTGACAGGCAGGATAAGTCCCTTCCGGAACCTTGTGCCGGAAGATGCCTTAAGAGAAAACCACCAAGCCATTTTTAGATGAATAAACTAGATAAATATCTCTTTGAATGTTCGCTTTGCTGGCCCAAGAATGGCCGATGCCTTCTACAAATGACCTAATCTTGTAGTCAACCTCTATAAAAAGTACTGCTCTTCTCTTGTCTTCTGCCCCCCACCACCACTACCAAAGGACCACGTGAACTGCTGGAGTGCTCGGTGGACTTAGGTCTCCTGAGGTGGGGAGTTCGATTCCCCTACGGGGCCTCTTTGACAGAGGCGGGACTTCATGATTCCTGAGGTCCCTTCCAACTTTGCAGTTCTAAGTCAATGACGATGACACCCCGTTTTTCTTTTATTTTTTTCTTGTCCTCCCACCACCTTTCTCAAATCAAAATGTGGAACTACTCACAACTGCTTGATAGTGGCCTTTTCCATCTTTCCTTTTCTGGAACCCGAGGCTGCCCCTGCGTTCATTTCCTTCTGGGCCGGCTCAATCCAGTCCTGCTTTTGTGAAATGATGCCACTGGGGGGGGGGGAGAGAGAAGATAAAGAAAAAGGTGCTTCCCTCCCTCTCTCTTTAAGACACCCAAGCTAGACATAGACTTCTACCAAGATTGTGTCCATTCATTCATTCTGCCCACTGGATCCCATGACTGTCATAGGGAGGCCAGCGCCCCTTGTTGCAAAACTGAAATGTTACAGATAAAACTTGTCATGGTGCCTCTGCAGTGATTATTTAAATAAGGAGTTATAAAATGATAATGCAAAGAAAAAGTCTAACCAGTAGCAGCAATGAAAGCCCTGTAGAGCCTACCCATACAGATGCAGTCTACCGCTGGCTCCCAAATGCGTTCCCCTGACAAGCAAGGAATATGCCTCCGGTTGGTAGCGCCACTGCTTTCGTCTTTTGCTTGTGGGGCTTCCCCAGGGAATCTGTTCAGCCACTGGACCAGTTGATCTCAAGCATCGTTGGCGTGAGTAGATTAATTCACAGGACTTGGTCACAAGCAAGCAGAATGCCTGGTTTGTGTTTTACCGAAACCCTCTTAAGGCAGTGGTCCCCAAACCTTGGGGCCTCCAGATGTTCTTGGACTTCAATTCCCAGAAATCCTGGCCAGCAAAGGTGGTGGTGAAGGCTTCTGGGAGTTGTAGTCCAAGAACAGCTGGAGGCCCAAAGTTTGGGGACCACTGCTCTAAGGTGAGCCTTTCTTTGATATTTCAGGAGGAAAAGAGAATTTTACAGGGAGTTTGTCTTGCTTGCCATGCGAGTAAGTGAGGCAGGAATGGCAACTTGAATCCCGTGACTTGCTGTTAAATTGGATTTAAGTCACACTCGGACTAATCTCGGGTTTTTTTTTCAATGATTCAGAACCCACCCACCCCTCCTTTTTTTCTGGGGGGAAAAGCTTATTTTTAATAGTGATTTGAATCGGGACTCGGTACCCAAGACTAGAACTCGGGCACAAAGATCTGCCAACATATTTGATGTGAGGGGGAGAGCCACTGGCCCCTGGGCCTGATCCAGCCTATAAACACCTTTGATCTGGCCAGCGATCTGCAGTATGCCCCGCCCACTGTCCTAAGCCCCACCCACTGAAGGGGGGGAGATTCTCCCCTATGCTACTACTCGTGTTTCCCCGAAAATAAGACAGGGTCTAATCTGCCCACTGTCCTAAGCCCCAACCACTGAAGGGTCTTATATTAATTTTTGCTCCAAAAAAACACATTAGGGCTTATTTTCAGGGGACGTTTTATTTTATTCATGTACAACCATCTACATTTATTCAAATACAGTCATGTCTTCTTCTTCTGGTTGCTGCACAAGGGTGGAGGGCAGGGTTTCACTTAACTAGGGCTTATTTTTGGGGTAGGGCTTATATTACAAGCATCCTGAAAAATCATACTAGGGCTTATTTTGGGGGGAAACAGGGTGACTTTCACAATTAGAAAAACAAGCATCAGATAGTGGAATTTCATTCTTCGCTCCAATCATGTGACTACATAAGCAATATAAACTAAGGGCAGTGTTAAAAATAAAATTAAAAAAAACTGAATGAGGCTTGTTCTGTGTCTAATTGAAGGCACAGGGCTAAGCTCCTGATCCTACCCAAAACCACCAATTTTGGACAGTTCCGTTAATCTGTACTCCAGGGTCTGAAACAAGATTTGCTTGCCATTCCAAAGAAAGGCCTTTTTTTCAAATATTTTTTCTTTCTTTCTTTCTCCTTCCTTCTTTCCTTCCTTTATTGTCCCTCTTCCTTCCTTCCTTCCCCTCATCCCTCCTTTGTCCCTCTTCCTTCCTTCCCCTCATCCCTCCCCTCCCTCCCTTCCTCCCATCCCTCCTCAACTGCTTACCTCTTGTAGCACTGCAACTCTTCCTGCACGACCAGGAGCTGGGCTTTTAGCTGGTTGCGTTCCTGGAGCACCTCCCGCAGCTCTTGCAGCGTGAATCGGGGCCGGTTAGGGTCTGTGAGATCGATGACCATCTTGTTGGGTCCCACGTTCGCCTGTAAAATTAAGGGGGTGATCAACAAACAGCCCAAAACCACCGAGCTGAAAAAAGAGCCACTGAGGAAAAAAGGGGGGACACCAGAATGTCCGGGGGGGGGAAGTGGGGGGGAGGGAACAACACAGACTGCAGATGGGCAGGAAAAAAAATCTAAGGGGGGAACTCTTCAGAGAAAGAGAGAGAGAGACAGAGAGAGAGAGAATCGCCATTGGGAACATTTAGTAATCATAGTAGTGAGAGACAGGGGGGGAAATAAAAATCGAGCTCAGTGGGTGGGTGGAAGGATAAAACGATGATCCTTTACCTTTCTGCAGATGGTAGAACAAGCGGTCGGACATCAGTTTTCATCCTCTCTCACACTGGTTACTGTGAGGTAGGAGAATTGTTCTCTAACCATACCTTGGAGTCCCCCGCAGCCCTCAGATTAAAGGCGAACGCTGCGGGGGACTCCAAGGTATGGTTACAAGGAGACACAGCTATCCTGCAACATTTTGTTGCAGATCCCAGCTTGTAAGACCCTACTCTACTACTACTTATTTTAAAAAAATCCATATATTTAACACACTATCCCAAAGGGTGGAGAGAGCCCTAATGCTCCTAACACAACCAGCAAAAGAGATAAAGGCGATTTGGAGCATATAAAAAAAAGGGGCAGAGTAGCTACTTGAAGGTTGAGGTTGAAAAAGTACTGAGTTCAAGTCTCCGTTTTGACATACATGTCTTAAGTGGAGCAGTTGCTTATTTCTTGACGTTCGCCCTGCTTTTGTAAGGCAGAAATAGTACTTTCTGCTCTAGTAGATTTAAAGCAGGGATGGGGAAGGCCTAGCCCCCCCCCCGATTTAGTTGAACTGCAACTCCCGTAAGCTTAACGACTGTTGTACAGTATTTTTACTTCCCAATAAATATTGTGATATTTTCTTCTTCAGGTGGGAAAATAACTTGGACAACCTTAGGGATTATGCTCAAATTAGAAAGTGGTTATAGAGAGAGGAGCGCCATTTTCGGCTGCCCCCTCAGGCAGCAAAATGTTCTGGCTTATCCCTGATTCTGAGAAGGATGACTTAAAAAAAAAAATTCAGCATCACCATTAATGTCTTGATATATGGACCAGGATTTCAGGCAGGAGGGAAGGACTCTTGCTAGAATCCAACTTTCAGTGTCTGGTGCTACTATTAAAGGCTCTGAAGTGAATTTGCTTTGAGAAACACCATTTTTTATTGTGATCAATGAATAAATCCACGAAGAGAAGAGACCAGCAGAATTGCTGTTATGCAGTGGGTACAACATTTGTATTTAATGGGAGACAATAATGACACCATTACTGATGTTATTTGCTAAAAAAATATTGAAACAGAAGCCTGTCCTACTGTGGGCACGTTTATTTTATTTATTCTCTGGCAAAGGCAGAAAGGCAGCAGGAAAAGAGGTAGACCCAATACAAGATGGACTGACTCAATAAAGGAAACCACAGGCTTGCATCTAGAAGAGCCGAGCAGGGCCTTGGAGGACAGCACTTTCTGGAGATCGCTCAAGGATAAGGTCGCCATAAGTCAGAGGCAACCTGGCAGCACATAACAACAACAACAGTTGGAGGGGGGGAGGAAAAGGAACTTTTTACCTAAGTTCTGATTTCCGACCTACCTCTCCCGTGGTCCCGCAGGCCACCTGTTTCCGGAGACTCTCCAGTTCTTTTCTCAAGCTGTCCCTCTCCATCTTCAGGGCCTCCACCGTCAAGTTGTTCTCGCTCACCAGGGCTTCGAGCATCTCCAGCACGCCGACCACCTTGAACTGGAGCTGGGCTACGTGGGCGGCCACGTCCAGCCGTGGCTCGGTGCTGAGTTTGTGCATCTCCCTTCCCAGGAGGTAGGAGATGTCGTAGACGTCCTCGGCCGTCAGCTGGAAGGCGCCTTTCTCGAAAGGGTTGTCCGGCCCGTGATGACTGCCAGGCTCACCATCTCCATCTCCTTCCTCCTCCTCTTCTTCTTCCTCCTGGTGCTGCTCGGCTTGCATGCCAAGTTCAGGGGACGCCTGGAGAAAGATTTCGCCTCTCCTGGGGAAAAAAAACAAAAAGCAGGAAGATCAGACGGGCAAGGAGTGAGGACAGGGCGGGGGATCAGCTGGCCGTCCCCTCCTTGTGCTCTTGCACAGACTCTGCCCAAATGCGCCGGGCGACTTCCTTCCTCCTTCAAAAAGTTTCATGTGTGTGACCGAATCTGCCCGGAGGGCCAGGCCAAACCGGAGGGGACACCCAATGGAAAGCGAGCCGATGAGGTGGAGCTAAAGGGAGGGAGGAAGGTAACCATGGCAGGGTGCAAACAAGCAAGCAAGCAAGCAGCCTGCCAACCCAAGGTGCCCGTGGCTAAAAAAAAGCCCGCCAGACAAATCCTCTCCAGCAATTTGGACAAAGGGAAGGTTGCAAGAACGCTGCGTGTCCTGAACTCAGGACTGTGTGTTTTAAACATATTTTTAAAGGGTTTCTAAGGATACTTTTCAATATGGTTATGATGTGTTCAGTTATTTTTTTAAAATATTCTACCTTGCGTTTTTTAAGCCTGTGACTCACGGTTTTCACAGATACTGAGCTGCCTCGAGTCCTTGCAACCCTAATTACAGCCATCTCTTTTGCACTTATTTTACCGTAAAGACTTGACTTGGGTGGGGGATTCTGGGAGGGGTTGCAGTCCATAAACAGCACGGTCTCCCAGCTCGGTGTTTTACTCGGGTGTAACCTCCCCTGTGTTAAAAAACAAAACAAAACCGGGATCCTCAAAACAAGCAAATTTCGGGAAACGCTCCTTTCCGCTTTTCTCGATAGGGCGCCATGCTCCCTTTCTGCCACCAGGAGGCGCCCGCTGGAAACATGAGAAGCGGGCAAGCCTTCCTTTTCCGCTCCGGCAGATTCGTCCGAGGCAGGCTTTGAGGCGAGTGGCCGTTTTGGAGAAATGTGCCGAATTCAAAACAACAACAACAATAATGTTGCTTTTAAAAGTATCATCTTCTTGCTGGATTTAAGGAAGGGTAGTGATTTTTTTTAAAAAATGGGCGAATCAGCGGCTGCCGATCAGAAAGCTGCCTTCCTGCTGGAGGACTCGTGCTTGCGCGGGGTGAGCGCTTGCTCGTTATTTATTTGTTTACTCGCGTGCAAACCTTTAAGTTGGACGGAGTGCGAGCCCACACCTCTCCGGGCTGGAAATACAACGGGGCCGGTAGGTCTTTTTTTAGCTTGGACAGAGGCTGGACTTGATGGTCTATAGGGTCCCTTCCAGCTCTGCAGTTCTATTATGATGATGATAATGATGATAGGAGATCGGGGTGGGTGGGTTGTTCAGCTGATCTTTTAGGTTCCCAGCAGATAAAATGTGGGGGAGGCTAGTCTGGCTCGGTCTTGTGCGTTTCTTTGAAAATGGGCAATCCTTGCTTAGTATACTCATAGTTTTTAATTTTTAATTATGGTCATTTAATGATGTAAGACACCTTTGTAATACTCATTGTTTTTTTTATTGCTTTAAATACTGCCTTGCAAGAATGTAAGCTGCCTCGGGTCCTTGTTAAGGAGGGGTAAAAATGTTTTAAATAAATTAATTAATAATCTCCCCGAAGCCCCCCTCTGTGTGTGTGTGTGTGTGTGTGTGTGTAAAGGAGATCTGTGTGTGTGTAAAATTTATTTCATACACAGACTCCTGAAGTATCTGGCAACCCTCCAAAGAAAGAAAGAAAACAAACCCGAGTTTAAGTACGAAACATCTGTTAACCTGGTTGGCTGTGATAGTGGAGGGTGGTATCTATTTTGCCCTTCGTTTCGAGCCTCAAAACGCAGAACAGACGGCTTTGAAATTAGGAATTAAAGGTTCTGTGTGCTTTCTCCCTCTCTTCTAGACCATGAACGAGTGGGAGCCTATTGCAAAAGAATATGATCCCCTCAAAGCCGGAAGCATCGATGGCACCGATGAGGAACCCCACGACCGCGCCGTGCGGAGGGCCATGCTGGCACGGTACGTCCCCAGCAAAGGCGTCTCGGGGGATCCTCACCTCACCCTGTTTGTCGCCCGGCTCAGCTTGCAAACCACAGAAGAGAAGTTAAAGGACGTCTTCTCCCGATACGGAGAAATCCGGAAGCTCCGGCTGGTCCGAGACCTCGTCACCGGGTTCTCCAAGGGCTACGCGTTCGTCGAGTACAAAGAAGAGCGGGCCCTCATGAAAGCCCACAGAGACGCCAACAGGCTGGTGATCGACCAGCGGGAGATCTTTGTCGACTTCGAGCTGGAAAGGACCCTTAAAGGGTGGATCCCTCGGCGACTTGGGGGCGGCTTCGGGGGGAAAAAAGAGTCCGGCCAGCTCCGCTTCGGAGGCAGGGACAGACCTTTCCGGAAGCCCATCAGTTTACCGGCTGGGAAAACGGACTTCTCTTACAGAGAGGGGTCGGCGGAAAAGAGAGACCGGGCTTGGTCCAGAGAAAGGGCCTGGGACTGGAAAGGGAGGGAACGGGACAGCGGGAGGAGCAGAGAGCAGCGGAGGCGAGGATGGGGTGACCGGCCCAGCGGTGACCGGCCCAGCGGCCGAGAGGAAAGGAGCAGAGGGAGAGATGGGCGGGACAGAGAGAAGAGAGACCGGAGCAGAGATCGGAGCTCGAAAAAACAAAGAGATGAAGACAGGCCATGATGGGACGGGGTTTGACCACAGAACCTCCAGAGATTGTGGGAAAGCCTAGCTCCGGCCTCCAGAACAAACTTCCGCCAACATCTGGGTAACTTATTTCTCAGCTCCTGGCCCATAAAACGGCGCTGGCCTCTCTCCACTCAAGACCTGGCCTTGTTCCGCCATCCATGTACCGTGTCGCAGATTTAGCTTAAACATTTTCGACCATTCTGGGCTTTAGTTCTTTTATACTCGTGCGGCCCCTACGCTGGGCACCTTTAAGAAACAACTTAAAACATGGATGTATACTCAGGCTTTCTCTCGTGTCAACACCTAACTTTCCTTTATTCTTTTTCTGTTTATTATTTCTTTTAGTATTGTATTTCTTATGGGTTGTCTACCTCATTTCGTTGCACCCACTTGTGAGTGCAATGACAAATAAATTTCTTATGAAAAAAAATCTGTATTGTATATCTGTTTATTGGAAGTGGTCGAATAGACCAGATGGGCGGGATATAAATCAAATAAATAAATAAATACTCTCTTCTCTGAAAGCCCGTTTCAGAAAGGTTAGGTTCTCGGAATTCCCCAGCTCGGTGGAGCGATGCTCATGTGCGGATTCTGGGACTGGTAGTCTTGAAAAAGTCGTTTCCAAGCTCTGCTGGAGGCTTTTTTAATTGTACGTGACCAGTGCGGCGAAACACGCCTCCACTTAGAAAACAGCTCAGATTTCAGTGATAGAATGTTTCCAAGCTCTGCTGGAGGCGAAACATGCCTCCACCTAGAAAACAGCTCAGATTTCAGTGATAGAATGTTAGCGAATACCGTGAGAAAGGGAAAGGTCAGTTCAAAAAGAGCAGGACAGAAATTTTCATGGGATAGGGAGCAACATGCAGTGGGTACTCTGGGCTGAAAGGGTGAGGAACAAAACTGGGAAAAGGGCTAGATCCAAGTTTACTATAGGAAAAGAAGTAGAGGGAGTAAAGGTCTGATCAAAACAAAATTTTACATTTCTTTGGGATGAGATGGCGATAATATGGACAAAGATGAAGTAGCGCTGAACTTTTTATATTTGGCCGAGTTTGCTCTGCTAATAGGTCATGCGTAAAAAAAACTCCAAAACTTGTTAATTCAGAAATAGTTTATTTAGCATATTAAAAAGATCTACAGCTGATATAACCCATCCCCTTTAAACCCTGTTTATTGCCTTTTTTTGTTAAACCTTGTAACACCCTGAATCAAGACACACATTCACTCCTTTGCATATCCCATGATGGTTGTCATTCCCTTTTCTTGTACACACCTTTGTAGACCATCACGTTAACAGCAATCATCATTAGAGCAGCGACCACATCCAGGGAGTTGTGGTAGAGGAACTGAGATCCCTTATGCTTTATTTTAGGATTCCAAAAAGGTTGGCCAAAAGAAAAAAATAGATATATACACCTTTGGTTAGAATAGAAAAGGTATTACAGGTAACCTCAGTCTTCTCTTGTCAGTCTATGCATTTGTGATCCCACAACACCAATAGATGATTTGGCAGCTAGTAGGGAGTTTGGCATCCTGACAATTAGCTACTAGTTTTGAAAAGGAAGTTTCTAGTCCTCGTGGTTGTTGAGAAAGTAAGCGTAGCAGGGCCTGCATCCTCTAGAGAGAGGAGTGAGCAGGATTCTAGTGGTTAGAAAATAGGATTGGCAATTTTTTTTGTCCAGCTGCCCTGTTTCCCTGAAAATAAGACCTAACCTGAAAATAAGCCCTAGTAGGATTTTTCAGGATGCTCGTAATATAAGCCCTACTCCAAAAATAAGCCTGTTAAGTGAAACCCTGCTTTAGGGCTGCTGGGCAAACGAACCCATAAAAGTCATTGCAAAACGAATTTACAAGTCTACAAAGAGGATTGTAGCTAACTTTTGTGTGCTGGCTGCAGAGGACAAGAAGCCCCTTCCTATAGGGTAAGCCTTGAGCCTTCAGGCTGAGCCAAGAAAATGAGTTAAAAGCCTAGTTTGGGGAAAGCTATAGGCTTTAGGGCTGCTGAGCAAACGAACCCATAAAAGTCATTGCAAAACGAATTTACAAGTCTACAAAGAGGATTGTAGCTAACTTTTGTGTGCTGGCTGCAGAGGACAAGAAGCCCCTTCCTATAGGGTAAGCCTTGAGCCTCCTAGAAATGTTGGCCGGATGACATTTTCTCTGGTTCCGTTAGAGGTGTAGGATAAGGCTGGCCGCTGCATGGAAGACGAGAGATGAAAGTAGATCGTTGTTCTGTCATTTTTTTACCCCACAAAACAAATGTTAGAGGCTGATCTTTCCGTATCATAAGGAATAGTTTCTTAAAACGGGGGGAAAAATCCCAAGTCTGTTAACATGACTTAATAGCCATCTAGGCTGACGGTGTGCTTCATTTCAAGAAATCCCCACAGCTGTAAATAAGAATTTACGTCCGTGTGTTTAGAAATTTTACACCCCTCTCCTGCATATCTGCTTTATATAGATTTAGAGTTTTATTTGTTTCGTGAAAGATGTGAAGACTCAGAAGCTTTCCTTTTGCCCTCTGTTTTCAGAGCTGGACAATTGTACCCGAAGAAACCAGACTGCCCTCCACCAACGCTGAAGCCAAACAAAATATGTTAGGTTTAGGAAGTGCCACAAGACACCTTTTTTTTGGCGGGGAGGGGTTCCTCCAGATGTTTTCCCAGCAGTTCTAGCTAGTATGGCCAATGATGAGGATCACTGTGGTTCGAATAAGATTCTCTACTCAGGAGGAGGGTGAAAAAGCCTAAAGGCAAGGGGGAAATGGATCACAAGTCCCAGTTGTGTACAATTGAACCTGACAGTGTACTTTGGATGGTTGTATGGGGCATCCATAGAGCGCTGTGGCAAAATTCTCACTATACCAGCAACCATTACAGCCTCTAAAACTTCATGGTCTAATAATCTTTCCGTCCTGAGGATGCTGATGCAAAGATGAGGCCTATATTTCCAGTTCAGTCTTGGCCACTAGCTGACTGGGCTCTTCAACCGTTTTTCCTGTTGGTATAATACAGTGGTTCCCCAGACACTCTTCAACTGCAACTCCCAGAAGCCTTTGCTCCTAGCTATGCCGGGAAAGGCTTCTGGGAGTTGCAGTCCAAGAACATCTGGGGACCCCCAGGGTGGGAATCACTGCTTGAGTTAACTGGTAGAATGGAACAAGATGATGGCTGTTCGCAAAATGGAGTCAGATTTGGGCTGCTGGGCGGTACCAGCCCTCGTTACGAACCCGAGATTCTCAAAGGGCCAAAAATCTTCAAAAGAAAAACAAAATAAAGGCATGCATCTCAAAAACCATACATTGAATGCCAGATGGGAGAGGAATACAAAATGGAAGGCCAGGATCAGGCAATCTGTCCAGGAGCCATGGCTGACGATTGCATGAGGACAAGGAGTGGGAGGCAGTGTCCACTTTCAGTTTTGAACTACAGCTCCCAGAATTCATGCTGGCTACAGCATTCTGGGAGGCGTAGTCCAAAAAAACACAAGCCTCCAGTCTCTTAAACTGAAAGAACGGACTCTCGTCTGAATCGTCTGCCAGAGGCTGATTGCACGAGGAAAACTCCCGCTCACTGGGAAGAAGAGGCGTTTCCTGCATGTACCCACTTATCTTTTGGGGAAGCCTGGGTGTCGTTGGTATTAAATGCTGAAATTAAAAACCCCATGCTGCCTTACGAGAGGTTGACGGTGAACTGAGACCCAAAGTTGTCTCGCGAACAGCCCTCCTGAGATGAGGCGCCCACTGCTCTAAAGGACCACCGGGGCATCATTTCAACCAACGATTGGCATGCCCAGCTACACCGGATGGAAGAAATGTAGTTCGAAATTGACCGATTTCTCAAAGGAGGAGGAGAAGGAAGAGATTGTGGTGTGAAGATGATAAATTTTGTTTTTTTAAAAAAGGGGGCGGTGAGCATGGAGTTCGGCTGTTGGCTTTCCCTTCGTACGTCCAAGAATTCAAAGCAAAATGCAAGGCGCCCACACCTACATCATGCTTTTTAGGCACTATAAATAAATAAACCCAGAATGCACAGTCTTGATTCGGAGGTTGATCCAGTTCCACCGTTCCACGCCCAAAACGGGTTCCTTCCGCAAAAGGAAGGCGTTACTTGAATTGCAAACCAAAGTGCCATTTTGGGGGGGGGAGTGGTTAGACAAAAAAGGATGGGGTGGGGGAATAATTGTGATCAAGAAGGGCCCTTCCCAAACAAATGTAAAGGAAAGCATCTGTTAACAAAGGAGTGGGCTGGATATAACCCTCCAGGAGTGACATCCGCCTTTTTTGGCATCTAGGAAACATTCGCTACGTGAAGGTTAATGCAGCAGTCAGTCCAAACAACCCACAAGCTGGTTAAATGAAACACACGGCCAGCAACCTAACAGAGCAGCTACACTGGAGTATAAAAAAACAACGCCATTGTTATGGAGCCATGGATCTTGCTTTTCGCCAGAAGTAGACATGGTTAGAAATCCATCATGGCAAGTCGGTTGGGGAAAAGAAAATCAGCAAAGGGGTTGGGGGGGAGAACTGGAGAGAGAAGGCCTTGCCCAGCCCTGCGCCAACGTGCGTTCTTCCGTGGTTTCGTGCGCCGTTACCGTAGCAACCCCAGGTTCCCCGTCACAGATGCTGCAGGGCCTCCAAGCCTTCCTCGGTGTAGCCATCATCTTTGTTAGAGTTGGCCCAGTCGCCGAAAGAACCCTGGAAGGAGGTATTCCTCTGACTGGATTGCATCCGTTTCTTGTCGCGGGAGAAGAAGCTAAACCTTCCAAACGGGAAACAAAACGAAAATAAACAAAACGCCACGCCACACCAGATTACGACCTTGATGCTGAGAGGAGGAACTGTTTACCGTGTTCCGGCAATACATCAAGATCTAAACCCAGCCGATTATAAAAGGGGACCGAAAAAAATAAATAAATCTGATTATAATCCTCTTAGGACCACAGAGCTGGAAGGGGACCCTGTAGATCATCTAGTCCAGCCCCAATTATAAAAGGGGACCGAAAAAATAAATAAATCTGATTATAATCCTTTTAGAACCACAGAGCTGGAAGGGACCCTGTAGATCATCTAGTCCAGCCCCTGGTCAAGGAGGCACAGCGGGGAATTGAACTCCCAACTCTCTGGCTCCACAACTAGATACCTAAATATCTGAGCTATCTCAGATAAGACTCTCTCACTTTAAAAAGTATTACCAAGAGGTGCTACACAGAACTAGAGATGTAAACTTTCTGAAAATTTCCATTTTTTTTCTGGGAAAAAGAACAGGGGGAAATGTGTGGTGCGGTTTTTTTCCTGAAAAAAATTGAACTTTCCAGAAAAAAAAGGAAATTTTCAGAAAGTTTACATCTCTAGTTCTGTGTAGCACCTCTTTTTCTCTCACACAAAATCAAGACCCATTCCATTGCAATGAAGCTCATTCCCAGGGAAGTAAAGTAAGGATGATAGTGAAGCTGATGTTCCTTTTAGAGACGGCTACAGTTAATTCATAGCCAGAACTAAGGGCCCAGAAACCGTCAAGGTCCCAAGCACCAGATTCCCGAAGCACCTAAAAGCTTGAGCCAAATATCTAGGAATTGGACGTGGCAGGAGAAAAAAAAGGACACAGCCCATTTTGGGAATCCTTCATAGTTTCATATGGTTAACTGGTCTATGGAAATGTCGGATGGCCTTTTAACCATGCAAGCGCGTCCACGCTGCCTCTTCTAATACTATTTATTCACTGTCAATGATACCAATTTGAGTCTTCTCACAAGTCGTTCATGTAAATGGACAGGCTATGTATGCCAACATTTGAGGTTTCAACAGTTGATTAGTACAATATGAAGAAATTCCTTCGACAACAAATGAAATAATAGAGGTTTGTTAAAAAAAATACAGTTTTGCTGCATTCTACCATTAGGCGCGCTTCCCAAAGCGAGATTAAACTGCATTAGTTATGAGCTTATCTATGTAGGCTATAAATAGGCTTTGTGTCTGAGAAGTACATATACGGGGGCCCCTGTGATTGGCCGAGCATGCCCGTAGTTAATGGAATGTCAAGAAACATTCTAACTTCTGAAGGGAAAGCTCTGACACAGAATGTCAGAAAACAGCATAAAAGCAATGAAATGTCTATCCGGCTGGAAAGACTTGCAATATTAGACTTGACAGGCAGAAGAATGTGACCTGGAGGAATCACGGAAAGACTGGGCTTTAAACAAGGGGTGGGTAAAGCGTAGGCCTCCAAATGTGATTAAACTACAACTCCCATCATTTTCCACCACCCTCTATATTGTCATCTAGAGTTTGTTAAACTCAACTGACCAAATAATTGCTTCACTTAAGTTAATTGAAGTTAGTGACTCACAGGATGTCCAAATTAGACAAAAAATATGTAAGGACACAAAGGATTTTCTGAGAAAGAAGCAGATACATCATGCAGGAAAGGAGCATTCTGATTGGCCACATAATTTTACTACTTTTTAAAAGATTTTTTTTCCTGATCCCACAGTCAGCCAATGAGAATACAACCGGGTTAAAGTGAGGAACAGCACACATGCCATGCATAAACTAGGGGACCAAAACCTCTAGTATTAACCAATTTTAAACGAGAGAGAGAGAGATTTCCTACAAGAGACACAAGTCTTCTTATTGGCTGCAATGTGGGATCGTCCGGGATCAATCCGGCAGCTACCATGGGCATTATGGCTGTAAAAATCCTGGTCGGGAAAGTACAGAAAGAGATAAAAGAGACTTAAGTAAGAAATTAAAGGCATTGGAATACACACAAAGAAAGAAGAAAAGGAAATCAAGGTGTCCACACGAATGAGAGGCGTGGGGGGTTAACACAGGGGGTGTATTAATACATGAGGGAATAAATTCAGAGACTCTAAAATACTCTAAAGTATCTTCTGATCAGACTCAGAAGAACGGAGTAAAGTAAACATAAGAAGATCTTCTAGCCGTTTTCTGAGGAAAAGGAAATCCTCAGAAGGAACTTCGTTTCCAAAATGCTTTGGAAAAATAAATAAATAAATCAGATGCCATTGTAAAGGACTATGAGATCTCGGAAGAGCCTCATAAGATCTCAGATCCCATCCCAAATCTTGCCAAGCAGGGTAGAAGAAGGGACAGAGTTGATTTCCGGCTTCCTTTCATGAGGTTTTATTCTGCCTCAGAGTAGAATTCTCCATCATGGCAGAGGGGAAACCAGGAAAACTATGGATCTAGGGAGGATCCACTGCGGTTCCGCCCCACCCATCATGACACATCATCCAACACACACACCCTATGCCAAGTAAACTATTCCAGTTTTGAAAAGGTGTGGGGGGGGAGGTTCAACAGATTATTTCACCAGTTGCCTAAGGTTGCCTAAGATACGTCTCCCGACTCCCATGTCATGCCGTGGGGCCATCCTTCAGGGTCCTAGACCTCCGTGGGGTCCCACCTCAGAGTCCCCCCTAAGCCAATAATATCTTAAAAGTCAAATAAACCATTATTTTCATCTTGGAGACAAGGGAAAGTCACAGGGTCCCCTCCGAGCTCAGAACACAACAAAACCCAGGCCAGAAGCTCGTTTTAATGTTGCTTTTCTTCCAGATTTGGGGACATCATTTGCCCTGCCTGTCACAAAGAGTGATGTTCTGTTGGAAATCTGGTCCCACCAAAATTGTTCACCCAGATTTAAGGCCTTGGAGGGGGAGGGGAGGAAATCCCTGATATTTCATGGGATGCAGTTTCCTGAACTGCAACCTTGAAAATTTTGAGACTTGTTTATCTTGGGTGCCGATGGTAAATTTCCTTTTATGTTGCATTGACGGGGCCTTGAACAACAGCAGTAATAAGCTGTAACATTCTGTTGCAGGTCCCTTGCTGTGAACCGAGGACACACAGCTGAGATCACCCAAGTAGTTGGTTGTTTTTCTTTCTTTCCCCGAGCTAAACACAGCTCCGAGTCATTCCCGGCCAGAGCTGCTGATGGAAGCAGCTATTATTAGGGTTGAAAAACAATGCACACAGTTATCCTTCTCCTCTGCTGCCTTTCTGCACTTCTGCCGCCTGCTTGGCTGGGCTGCGTCACATCAAGCAACACACAGACACAGACACACACACACATGGGCTTTTGTCTGTCTCCTGTTTTAAAACCAGTGCTGATCATCAGATCAGCAACAAATGAGCGAGGCAGCCTTCAGTACAAAAGACCTCTTTCAGCCCCTCTGGACAAAACAATATACACAAAAGAGCTTGGCTTTAAAAAAAGAAACAAATCAACAAGCCATTCCTGCTTGAGAAGTGATTTTTTAAAATACAGTGGTGCCCCGCATAGCGACGTTAATCCTTTCCGGATTAATCGTCACTATGCAAAAGCATCACTAAACGGATCGAAAAACCCCATAGGAACACATTAAACGTAGTTTAATGCGTTCCTATGGGCCCAAACTCACAGTTCAGCGAAGTTCCTCCATAGCGCCGCCATTTTCGCGCCCTCGGTAAGCAAGGGCAGGGCGCGAAAACACTTGCGGTGGCCATTTTGGGCACTCAGCGGCCATTTTGGAACCACCGATCAGCTGTTGTAAACGGCTCGAAAAACCCCATAGGAACACATTAAACGTAGTTTAATGCGTTCCTATGGGCCCAAACTCACAGTTCAGCGAAGTTCCTCCATAGCGCCGCCATTTTCGCGCCCTCGGTAAGCAAGGGCAGGGCGCGAAAACACTTGCGGTGGCCATTTTGGGCACTCAGCGGCCATTTTGGAACCACCGATCAGCTGTTGTAAAAACATCGCAATGCGAAGATCGGTAAGCGAAACGCTTACCGATCATGGCAATGCGAGTTTTCCCCTATCTAAACATCGCAATGCGATCGCTTTTGCGATCGGAAAAGCGACATCACTATGCGGATTCGTTAAACGGTGCGCTCGTTAAGCGAGGCACCACTGTAATGTCTTTTTACTTTTAAGCGATATCATCTTTGTTGATGATAGGTACACAGTCTCTTTAATTATCATCATGTGCTGTCAAGTCAATTCTGACTTATGCTGATCATTTTCAGGTTTTATTAGGTAAACATATGGGGTGGCTTATCCTTCCCTTCTTCTGGGGGAACCTCTGAGACTGTATGAAGCTTGGCCAAGGCTACCCAGGCTGGCTCTTCTCTCACAAGAGGCACGAGTGGAGGAATCGAACTCCCAACCTCTGGCTCTGCAGCCAGTTGCCTTAACCACTGAGCTATCCAACCAACTGCAGTCTCTTTATTACCTCTCCCATAAACAACTGAGGTTCCAGGGTGTGTGTATGTGGAATTTGCGTGAGACAAATTGCTCATCACTCCTGTAACTCCATAGTTTTGGAAGTCTGGTAATTACCTGCAGGAAAGGTACCTTTCAAGTAGAAATTACAACTGAACCATTAATTAAAGAATAAAATAAGGCTGCCACCCTTAGCCTCTTTACTTCTAGGCTTAATACTATAAAAAAACTTCTGAGAGAAGGATAATTTTGGTTGCCACTACAGTGAATTACACTGCAATTTTGTTTCTAGATATGAAACATTTGGGATAAATCTCGTGTTTTCTGTGCCTCCAGAGGCACTACACCCTCAAGGACGTCTGCTGAATTCCAAGAAGTCTGAATTCTGAGAAGACCTACATCTAGATGGACATTTGTGGCAGCTGATGGAGGGGCAGGAATATGATTTTGGAATGCGACAAGATGATCCTTAAACAATATGTTTAAAAGGTGGATTTTGTGGCTTTAATGGTCAAAGTATGGTTTAAAAAAAAGGGGGAAGCATCATTATATATCAGAGACTTTAAAGAAAGCATTGGTACTCAAGAAAAACTCTCCAGATTGAAACACCCTTTTGAAAGAGATAAAGACATTACTTACAGCCGTTTGATTCCGGATTCTTGCTGAGTGGGTGGTTTGGAATTAATTATGGTTGTAGGCTGGGAAGACTTTGTTTCTTCATCAGCCTCATCACTTGAAAAAATAGATAAATAAAAGGAAGTCACACACGGACAAATTATAGTATCTAGTCTTCTCACCAAACAGTAACATTCCACCTTTCTGTCTGTCTCCATCTCTCACACCAGACTGGAGAATAACATGCACTTATAAGATACAGAAAAGTGTGGAGTAAAATCTCTAGCCAAAGAATTTGCGGGACAAGGAGTGAGAACTGAACATTGCAACATTGCTAGGGTTTCTGCCCCTTGGTTAATTTAAAAACAGTGCTGATTTACTGAAAACTGAACCTGGCCTCTGAACCCATTGTGTTCTGACCTTAGTAAAGTTACAACTGAAAACTGAACCTGGCCTCTGAACCAAGAGATCGGCTGCCCATTGTGTTCTGACCTTAGTAAAGTTACTTTTATTTGGGGGGAAATAAACTCAGCCAGCAGGATGGCCAACCTGAGGAATTCTGGAAATTGCAGTCCAAAAGAGTAACTTTCCCAAGATCTGATCCTGCATCCACTGCACCTCTTCCAACCCCACTGAACACAGCTTTCCCCTTGGTTTAAGTGGGTGATAAGCAGGAGAAATTAGAACAAACCTTTTGTAATAAAGAAGCTCTTCTTGAAGCAGAAACACTTTAGATTTCAGTTCGTTTCTCTCGTGCAAAACATCCCGCAACTCTTGCAAGGTAAACCTAGGGCGATTTGGATCCTTCAAATCCATGGCTGTTTTCTCCATTTCCGAGACATAATCATCGCTGTTCGTTTCTTCCACCTAGAAGACCAAACAGAAGCCCAAGTTAGCATTTTGGTTTCAGGGTCTTGCACAAAAAAAGGCTACTTTTTTAACTTTAAAAACAAACTTATTTCTAGTTATTTGGAAGTCAACCACCTAACCACCCTGAGTTTTAAGAACACAGTGGAGTTTAAAACTTGAAACACAAGAAAAATACAGTGGTGCCCCGCATGATGATAACTGAAATGCAAGAAAAATACAGTGCTGCCCTGCATGATGACAACCCCACAGAACGATGAAACCGCATGACGATGCCTTTTTGCGATCGCTATAGCTATAGCGATTTGCAAAAAGGGCATTTCAATGTATAGCGATTTGCAAAAAGGGCATTTCAATGGGGGAATTCCGCTTGACGACAACTTGGTCCGTGCTTCGCGGACTGTTTAATTGCAAAACAATGATCTTTCTAGCTGATCATCAGCTTCACAAAATGGCCTCCCGCTGTTTTCCGGACCCCTGCTTCGGAAGACAGCGATTAAAAACAGCTGCTCGGCGCTCGCAAAATGGCTGCCCTATGGAGAAACTTCGCTGGACGACGAGGTAATTTCCCCATTGGAACGCATTAACCGGTTTTGTGCATTACAATGGGGAAACTGTTTTCACATGACGTCAATTTCGCTGGACAGCGATTTTAACGGAATGGATTATCGTCATCATGCAGAGAACCACTGTAAATGGAAACATTCAATACTACTGTACTAAGAGGGAGGCTAGGAAAGCAAGATATGGGGGAAATGTTTCTGTCCACATGCTCAGCTGGAAAATTTGATGTGTTTGAAAAAAACGCATCATGGCATGTGAAGGTTTTATAGACGTGTAATTTAACCTGGACTCAGATCCACTCAGGGCTTCCTTAACTGGATTTAAGGGTGACTGGAAAGCAAAAAAAAATCAGCCAGTGGTATGAAAGAATGTCATGCCTTTACTGAATACGTGATTGACAACACATGCAGAAGAATGATTGACAGGGAGAAGAAAACATAAGAGATTATTTTGTCCTCCAATTTGAAAATAATTCCTCAGAAGCCTTGTATTATATAATTATATAATTATATAAGGTGAACATAATTCCTCAGAAGCCAGTAGGTTCTTACAAGCTAAAGTATTATATAATTATTAACCCTCTGTAGGACCAAACAGAACAGTCACAATATAATACATCCACCTGCTTCAACATGGTGGCGGGGAGGAGAGAGTGTGATTAATTTCTCAGTTAGAAATGTGCATGGAAGGAGCTTTTTCAGACTCAGAAGACACGATGTGGCCAGCTTCTGGACCAAAGATTAAATCTAGCATGACTAGAAAGACAGAGAGCAGTGTAGAATAGTGGAAAAAATTATACATTCCATAGCCCGCTCTTTGGATGAAGCTAAGCTTGCTGGACGATTCATATTTCTTCATCCTCAGAAGGAACTGGCTTTTTCTCCCTTGCCCAATAAGCTTTAAGTCAGCTAAGGATCAAAAAAAGATGCAGGCCAGGGCTTGCAGGACTAGCTACCCAGAGCGTGTGGCCGTCTCGTCTCACCGCTTAGTCTGTAATTATGATCTGAGCTTTTCTTTAGAAGAGGAAGCTGGGAGTGGCTTTAATGGCAGAAGAGGCATCATCCTCACCCTAAAAGCGGGCAAGCTCCAAAAAGAGCGAAGAGAAAGCAAACATGATTTCTTTCTGCAGGCAAACGGACACGCAGTTCTTGGCAACTGGCCCACGGCAGAAAACCACGTCTTTTCCGCCAGGATGAATGAACTGCATGCAAACTGCATTCAATTTCTCAAGAAAACGAAGAATTGATTTCCTTAGGCGAGGACTTCAGCACATCCCATCAAAGGGTAGCATTTCGAGATCTGATTTGGAGATGAGAAAGAACGTAGGCGGCTTTCTTCAGTTACTAGCATTATTAAAAGAGGCATTTTTTAAAAAAAAACCCCGAAGTGGTACGTTTTGGGCTCGATTGAGATGCTGATGATTCAGGCCTGTCCATGATTTGCAGGGAGGATGCTGTCTATCGCCTGAGCTTTCTACTCAACAGCTGAAACAAACAGCACAAATGTTTATTATTTATTTATAGATTGTGTGCCTCACTTTACTGCTAGAACTCCTCTCTGGGCGGCTGACATCATAATTTGAAAATGGCAAGAGGCTGCCTGTCCTCAAGATTACAATCTAAAAAGGCACAGCACTGAAGGAAGGAGGGGAGGGGAAAAAAAAACTCAGCCCAAGTTCTTAATTAAATAAGACTTTTGGGGGATAACCCTGTTCAAGTGAAAGCAAAGAAGATGAAGTTTTATTCGCGTTCGTGGGCTGAAGCCCACTTCATCGGTTACGTCTGAGGAGCAAGGTGGCCGTTTACAAATGCTGACGCCAAAATAAACTGGTTAGTCTTGAAGACGCCACAGAATTAAATGGTAATTTAACGAGGTTCCTCCAAGTGGAGCACCGTCGGAAAAGGTGTAAGCTGAAGAAACACAAAATGGCGTGCAACACCACCTCATGGTTTAGCGTGATCGGCATCTGGACTCAAAATGGTCATGCCCTTCAGCCTCTGGTAGGAGGAGGAAGAGCGAAAAAGAAAAAGTCATAGAAACTGGACCTGAGGAAGCAGAAGGAAATAGAAATCCATGCAGTTTGTGTCTCTCTATATGACTTTTTTCCACCTCATGTTGGGTTTTCAGAGTCTATGGTGCTGGTTTTGCTTTCCTCAGTCAGGGGCTTGAGTTTGCTGATCACATCCATCCGAGTTCCCTGCCAAACGTGGAGGCTCAGACATAAACAAGACAGGCAGACCGGGATTCCCAGCCTTCCTAACCTCTGGAGTGACGCAGGGGATTGACGATATCAAATGGCTCCCATCTTTGAAAAATAAAATTGAGTTACACAAGGTGGGGGCAGCGGAAGAGGGAAGGACGAGACGCCAAAGGACTTGCTCCAGATTATCTTCTGAGTGGCAGCCAAAGAGGCTCTCAAAATAGATCCAGCGTGGCTTGCCTCTGTGTGTCTGTGTTGCCTTCAAATAAAATAGGTTCTCTGTACAAGTAATTCCATTTATAGCTCAGTGGTTTACGTCTCTGGTTGTGGAGCCAGAGATGGGGAGTTCGATTTCCCCTACTGGGCCTCCAAGACGAAAAGCCACCCTGGGTCGCCTTGGGCCAGCTGCACAGTCCCAGGGATCCCACCCAGAAGAAGGGGACGGTCAACCACTTCTGTGTATTCTACCTAGAAAACCCTGTGTTTGACTGGACAGCGCATGACAATGATGAGAGTGACAGTAGTAAAAATCTAAATAATTCACAGCGTCTTGCATAGGTTTGATATACCAGAACTTGGCAACTGTGCTTCTATTGTTTGAGGCACCGGGGCGGGGGGGGCGACCATTTCTAGACATCCCCAGCCAGATGAACCTCTTCCTCTTATCCAGGCCTACCTCACAGGGTCGTTTGGAGGATAAAGAGGGTAGAAGCAGGACCAGGTATATCATCTTGAGTTCATAGAAAAGAAGGTAGAGTGAACACGGGACCCATAAATGAATAAGCAACAAATGAAACAGAGTGTTAAAATATATATACCTATATGGAGTCTTCCATATATGTGTGTGTGTATGTTCTCCATATACAGTGGTGCCTCGCATAACGAGCGCACCGTTTAGCGATAAATCCGCATAGCAATCTATTTTTTAAAATCGCTAATGCGATCGCATTGCGATGTTTTAATGGGCAAAACACCGCGTTGCGATGATCGGTAAGTGTTTCGCTTACCAATCTTTGCATTGCGATGTTTTTTAAACAGCTGATCGGCGGTTTCAAAATGGCTGCCGGGTGCCCAAAATGGCCGCCGCAACCATTTTCGCACAGTTTCCTCGCTTACCGAGGGCGCGAAAATGGCGGCACTATAGAGGATCTTCGCTGAACGGTGAGTTTGGGCCCCATAGGAACGCTTTAAACAAAATTTAATGCGTTCCTATGGGTTTTTCCGTTCCGTTTAGTGATGTTTTCACATAGTGACGATTAATCCAGAACGGATTAACGTCGCTATGCGGGGCACCACTGTATGT